CTCCCGCCGGCCCCTCGGGGCTCCCAGCGTTGACCCGGGAGGGGCTGCAGGGGGCGGGGCGGCACCCCCCCACCCCCTCCCTCCCGTCCCGCGGGGGCCCTACGGGTGACTCCGGAGGACCCAGTGCGCTCACCTCCTTGGAGCTGAGGTTGCCCCGCACGTACTTAGCCCGGGCGCGGGGGGGCAGTGGCAGCAGCAAGAGCAGCAGCGGGGGCAGCAGGCGGCGCAGAGCCGGCGCGCGCTGGGGATCCATTGCGCCCGCTCGGGCCCCAGCCCCGGCTCCGCTCCGGCTCCCGCTCCTGCTCCAGCCCGGCGACGGCGGCGAGAGCGCGCGGGCCAGCAGGCGCGCGCCCCCGATTAAAGGGCCGCTGGGCGCCGCGCTCCCCGCCCCCTCCTCCTGGACGGTCCGCCCTGGCCCCTTCCCAAGCTCTGTGGGAGGAGACGCCCCTTTCACATCCTTTCCGTCCCGCCCAAAGCCCAGGCCTCCCCTCTGGGAGTTTCGTTGATACCTCCAACGCCCCCACCACCCCCCACCCCCGCGGCCCGTGTCCTAAACTGAACTCACATTTCCCCCAGCCATGCCTCCTCTGCCATCTCCAGACAGCACATAACTCCCAGGCCCTCCTCCTGCTCGGTCCTGAGGTCCCTTCACACCCCCATTTAGTTCTAAACTGCTTTCTGATGGCTCATCCCCTCTCCATAACAGCCATCGCCAAATATGTCCACCCAGCTCCTGACCCCATGCACTGTGAGGTGCCCACAGAGACCCAGAGGCGGGCAGAGAGGGTAAACCACTTGTTCTGGGTCACACAATACAGAGGGGGCAGAGCCTTCAACCACAATCACCCACTACACCCTGTTGAGTGGCGCACTCCTGTCACTGCATCCAGAGTGTGCACAGACAGGTGGTGGTGTGAGAAGCCCACAAGCAGACTCTGAAGTAAATTGCTGGGTCCAAATCCCAGCCTTGCCACTTCCTCCCCCTAAGATGTCAGCTAAGTCACAGCCTCATGATCTTCCAGTCCAGTACCCTCCAGAAGGGCATCTATTTTACATTTTCCCAGTTAGGCAATACGGAGCCCTGGAAAGGCTGTATGCAGTGCAGTCCAAGGCTCGCCACTTGATTCTTCTCAGATTTTAGCAAACACTTCTAACTTCGTTCCTCCCATTCCCCTGCTGAAATTTTGCTGCTCCTCAAAATACCACTTTAAAAAACCTTTCTTGGGCCTCCCCGGTGGTGCAGCGGGTTGAGCACCGTGCTGTGAAGCTGTCCGCAGCCTCGGCAGTTTGGGTTCGATCCTGGCCTTGGCAGTGTGGGTTCCATCCCAGCCAGCTGTCGATAATCCCACATGCTGCCGCAGACCTCTCCTGTCGCACACACTGCTCCCCTCAGCAGTGTATTTCAGTCAGTCTGCCTGTTCTGCTCCCTCTCCTGTCTCTGGTGAATCCTCTCACCCTCCCATGCCTCTGGCCTATACTTCAGCTCTTGTTGAAAAATAAATAAATCGGGCCTCCCCTGGTGGTGCACTGGGGAGCACTGGGCTGTGAAGCTGCCCGCAGCCTCTGCAGCACCGGTTCAATCCCAGGCCACTGGCGAGGGTCCCACATGGCGCGCAGACCTCTCCTGCCCCACCCGCTGCTCCCCTCAGCAGTGTATTTCAGTCAGCCTGCCTGTTCTGTTCCCCACTCTGGCTCTGGTGGATTCTCTCACCCTCCCAAGCTTCTGACTGTACCCAGTGCTTGTATAAATAAAATTTTA